TGGTGGATGTTTTTTATTTTTGCAATTGTCATTGCAGTGCTGTTGAGAAGTGCAAGTGCGTTTGTGAATGCATGGAACTTTTACATAGAATTGTCAACAATAAAAAGAAAGACAATTATCTGAAGTAGGCCTAACATTAATGAAAACATCAATTAGAGTACATGAGCATGATTCTTCAAGTCCAATTTTTCCCTGACAAAAAGAAGGCCATCAAGTAAAGCTTGACAATACAATGCAATTTGATGGTCTCAGTCACAAAATTGGAAAACATGAAAGTAGATCTGGAACATGACATATCATTCATGTCTCATCTCATCATAATACATTATTGCTCAAAATGCAATATATATGCTCCAGTTTATGTAAATTTATTCAAAAAATTTTATCAACAAAAGTTGTAAATTTTTTTTAATACTTTTTGATAGTTGGTTCTACATTTCTTTCAAAATAAAATTCCAGAAAGCATTGTTAATTCATTTCTTTGTCAATAAACTTATAGTGTATGATTATAAATCTTAATTTTGATACTGTTCATATGTTCCCAAAGTTGCACCAATGCAACATTAATTTTTTCAGGTGTCCGATGCAAAGAAATGGAAACAATGCATACGAGTAAATTGATCCAAAAATTAGAAAAAGCTAATTTGATAAACATTTCTGTCTCTGAACAAATGGATTAACCAAATAACCTCTTCTTTTTTGATCCAAAACTGGATCCCCCAACAAACACACACACACACACACACACGCACACACACACACGTGCACGCACGCACACACACACACACACGTGCACGCACACACACGCACGTGCACGCACACACACACACACACACGTGCACACACATTCAGGATTTTTAGTCAAATTTTGTTTCCTAACCTAATGGTCTTGATTATCTGACTTTGCACTTTCTCAATAGTTTTTTCAGTAGTTGTGAGACCAAACCACATTAACACAGTCAAGTATGGGCCTTATGTACGATGCATACGTCTGTTTTTAAATTTAATTCTTCATTAATACAGTGGAATAATTTTTGCAAGTTTTTCAAGGGGCCAGAATTTTTTAATGTCATAAGCAAGAAGAGCCTGTATTTGAAAAAATGCTTAATTTGTCGTTTTCACTTTTCCTTGTTCAGAACACTATAATTGGGAATATGAACTAATTTATACATGAATAACACAAACGCACAAGAAATAAACTATTTCAATTGAAAATTAAAACTAACATTAATGCGAATAAAAGACAAACTAAAAATGTTAATTAACAGAAAAAATCTAGCATCTTCAGTCGATCGAATTCAAAGTGGTATGTTTTTAATATGACGTAAGACATCGATAGATGGTGTATTGTAGAACCTACTTTTCTGACTCAGAGTTCGTAATTGAAAAGGCCATGAATCAGAGCTATTTTTAATTTAGTTCTTTCATTATAAATGAAAGATGGTCATGCCTAAGAAGTCTGAAAGAATCCCTCTTTATTTTCTGCTACCGTCAAAGACCCTAAACTATCCTGGAAACATCATTTCTGCTGATCTGGGAAACATACGAATCATAGAGTATGTTACCAAAAATCTTCAAACATAATTCCTTTAAATTTCTAGATTGAATTGGGCAAAATATAAATATAAAGCTGGAAATGTGGTGAACATCCTATCTTCTTTAAAACCTCTAAATTATTGATAACTGCAAAAGTTCAACTATTTTTCAACCTTCTCCTGCACAAGTTAGAAATTTTCTTAGTGCAATCAATTCTTCAATATTCAAATGGCAATTTAAAAAAAATATATATGCATATACCCCATGTTTGGTTTCTTTGTTTATATGTATAATGCAAACATCAGTGATGCGATACAAATTATATTAACTGTAGAAATGTAGAAATTTTGACTTTTGTTGGTATGCTCAGCGTCCAAATTGTACTTTCACTACTTCACATGCTTAATTTCTTATTTTAGTAAGACTATTGAAATTTTCCTCCACAACTACTTCTTCTACCCTTTTGAAAATAAATGTTTTTGTGACTTTTTCTCATCTCTTCTTTACAAGGAGTCAAACTTTGATTAACCTTGATCTTCATTCAGTAAGACCATGTTTGGAATCAGCATTACAATCGTAAAGGCATCATTCAAGAATTTTAAAGAAGCCAATGTTGAAGTTGAGTCATGGACCCTTAAGAAAAATATGTTGGGTTCCTATACATTGTACCAAACGTCTTTGTGCTTGGTATTTGAGAGACACATGATGATGCTAATAGCCTTTTGCTAGTTATCCTTGGCTTGTTGTCCACACAATAACAACAGTAATGTAATCTACCCTTGTTGCCACTAACTCAAAATGAATACATAAGGGTAGAGTGCCTTACTAAAAGTACATTTGTGATGCCAAAAAACAAAATTTCACCTCATTTCGAATATCTAAGTAGATGAAGAATATGAAAAGTATAGGTCTGAAATTTAATATTTGCTTTAGTTGGCCTATGAGAGGATAACATAAGCATGTGCATGGCAAGGGCAACAAAGCCTGGCAACTGTGGTGAGGCGCTATCAAGAACAAATAAAAATTGTGTAACATATAATGCTTTTTAATGGGAATAATTCTGTTCCCATTGAAATACTTTCAAATGTAAAATAGAGAATAGAAGTGGAATGTATACCAGGAAATTCACGTGTTAGAGAATTTATTTAACAAATTATTGAAGGATATGTTTTTATTATTCTAAAAATTATTACTCTGAATTCAATTGAATTTCTTGTTACAATGCTTCCAGGGAGTGGTAAGTATCTTTTTCACTTTGCAACGCTATATTTAATTGGAGCTGTGATGGTCTTTGTTAATTTGTTTGCTACAATAAATATTTTGAGAAATAAATAGTAAGATCAAAAATGTCATTTATGCCTTTCTCACAGATGTGGAATGAAATAATAAGAAATGATTCTAAATAATTGATTTACTTTAATTGTTCATGTAAGAAATTCTTTTGTTTCGTTTGGCACCAGGAAGTGCCCACTTTGTTACTAACCACAGCTCCATAAATCCACAATAAAGTTCACACATAGTGAAAAATCAGTTGGCAAATTAACTATTTCAATGAAATTAACTTGTAGAAACTAAATGTATAATAAACCTCCGCACATACCTTGATATCCTATAACATTCCATAACTTGTAGGCTTTAGTGTACCCTATGATAAATTAGTCATGTTGAGAGCGTCATTGATGCCCATACTTCCCTTTTGACAACTTGCAAGGATTGGTGCCAGCTTGTTCACAGCTTAGTGGAGACTAGTTGCAGCTGGACTGCGGAACTGCAGGTGATTGTTGGCCTCCCACCTATTACTGTCATTCTTATTATTATTATGCATGTGTTTTAATATAAATCTCATTTTTAGCAAGTCCTTTGTCTTTTGTATGCTGAAGAGTGTAGTGCATCATTCTAGTGAGAAAGATTCATGACCTCTTTTCTGGTTTCATATTTTTCAGCCAAAAGACATTATGGACTTGCCTCTTAGGCGGGTCTAGAATAAAGTCGCATTCATAACCTACCCTCATCCTTTGTTTAGTGTGTGCTTCTGGTCTTGGGTTGCACGAAAGCAGACTCAGAAGACAGGTCGTGAATGTGTGCCATCAAGGGTGTGCATGCATTCATCAGCCCGCACTTTGGCAAGGCTTCCTACTGCTATTGTATTATGCAATAGCTGGCCTTACCATGAGTTTTCAAAGTTCTAGAGTCGGTTATGTTCATTTTCTGGTGCTGCAATATTGCATGTTCATATTTTTTCTTGTATATTCTTTCAAATTATTTCTAGAAAATTTTTGTGATATTTGTGATTGTAGAGTGCATCAAACATCTTTGTACATGTACATAAGTTAAATTTATCTGTGATTTCAAAAATAGTTTTAATACTTCCATTCAGTGACATTATTTTTGCCTTTTTTGCCAGTTTCCTGTTGTGTGTGCACGCACTTCTCACTGCCCCTTGATATAAAAACTTAACCTGCAGATCATTGCCGTCCATACTGTCCCAGCTGCAGGTTTTTTTCAAAGGCACTTGGCACTTAAGCAATTCTCACTATCTAGCCGCTATAAAATGAGGGATTGTGAAATGGGAGTTCATGACTTTATATTCTCTTTTTATTTTTATTGATTCATAATTTATATGGACGGCTCTTTGTTAATTGTGCATTGTACCTGTTGACTAGATATTAGGTACAGTGTTTTTATGCCTTCATTCCAGTCTGAAATTTACTCAATCATGGTGTTTCTCTGACACTAGTTATTACTTATTTTTAGTACATTTTTATCTAACTAACAAAGACACGTACATTGTTATTTTACACCTAAAGATACGTTATCTGTATTTTGTTGTGGATCATTTTGGTGTGATTGGACTCTCAGCATGGATTCTTAGTATTTGTACGAGTAGAGTAGATTCAGAAATTAATTAATTTTCGTTCCCTTGTTGCCTTTTTACATCATTCCAAGTGCTAAAGTGTATTTCTTGGTTGATTACTTTCTCCTCTGAAAAATAAACCATTTAAAAAAAATTTTTTTTTTTTAAACTCTTAATTTCCTCATGAATTAATAAAATTTTCTTTCACATTTTTGCGTATGCTCAATCAATTGTCTCTAAAGTTAATGTGAGTACTCTGCAGGTTACAGAAGAGAAACAATAATTTGTAAATGTAGGAGAGTCTGAAAATGTCTGTTCACTTTATTTTCCCTTCATTTGGATTAAAATTTCATGTAAGAGCGAGGTTGTTCATCTGAGTATTTCATCTGACATTTTCTTTATCATAGAAAAATTTATCTTCTTTGGTTTGTGGCAGTCATTGCATCTTACCTTTCCTTTTTACAGGAGACTGTTGAATTCTTTAGTAATTATAGTTTCACCTTCTCATATTGTCTGGACTTCTTATGCATTAGATATCTGTGTGGAGAAAGTTTTCAGTCACAGAACTTGATATTCTTCTTGTTATTAATGCAATTGTTTTGTTTTTCAGGGTGATGATCCAGTAACAAGTATCGATTACATGATGCCTCAAAATAACGGAAATCAGTACTCTCAGGTAAAGTGCACTTTTTCATTCTGAGGTTTTCCATGTTTTGTTCTTCTGTGTAAAGTGTATATTTTTTTAATAACATAATTTGTAGATAATATTTTAGGATGAACCAATTTTGTGAATACACAACATTATCCAGTTAAAGGTCTCCGATTTCACAAATAATATTATATCTTCATTTTTTATCTCGCATAAGTATTTCTTCTCTTACGAGAAAGGCATTTAAATTAATAGACATAATCTCCTTGAAAGCAGTCATCATGACTAAAATACGGAAGTTCCGTATGGAATACATACTTCAGGATGTAGATCTCCCGGAAAGGACCACATATATCCCAATTGGTTTGAAAAGCCTTTCATATGAACTGACTCCCAATTATAGAAATGCAACCACTCAATACACACCGACAGTGTGGATATAACGAATAGTACAGTCAACTGGTGCTAAAAAAAAGATAAAAAACGTAAAATTTTAGTGTAGTTTTGATGTTTGGTTTCTATGATTTTTTGGGTTGCTAAACACGAATAACAGATTTTCTTACATAAACTTTGTTCATGTTTCATATTTTTAATAAAAAATTGGGTAAAAATCTTACATTTTTTTCAGTTTTTCAAAAATAACTCAAAAGCTATGTATTTTCCATAAATAATGGTCATGTATGATATAAAAGAAGCTAAAATTACCTATGTTTAAAGTCATTTTTAAAGGCTTTTTTTCCTCCAATCAACAGTTGAGTCGTGAGAGGCCTACAATTTGGCGATATAAATGAAGTACATGAAAGAAAGGGAATTATCCCACTATATCTCAATATACATTAAAAACTATCCACGTTTTGTAAATATTATTCTGATATGAAATGAAATAGGATAAAACTGCTGACATTTTATGTGTACGAGGTGTTCTTCTAGTATCAATTATTTCGCCTTTAGTGTGCAAAATGTGCCTGGACGTTACTGTGAAAGTGGCACTCCACATAACCTCCCTCTGTAGTTCTACACATAATTTACATTCAGTAAAGTTGTGTACAAACTTTGTGTGCCTTGTGAATTAGTTAACATTTCAATTGAAAATAGAAAAGTGGGTAATTAATATTATGAAAAAGAACATAAATATTTCAGAAGAAAATAGACGGCACCTTCACTTCCTTTCCTCTACTGCCTTTGTTTTTTCTTCTTTCTTTGTTTTACTTTCTGGTCCTTACTTCATACGAAGAGAAAGTATTGTACGCAGTGAGCTTTCAGCCCAAAAAATCCTTTTGGCAAACCCTGGTAACAAAAAAATGGATAGATCTTGTAGTTGTAAATAGTAATTTACTTCCTCTAACACAGAATTCTAGGTTTATAGGTCCTTGATGAAAACCTGTTGACAGCAAAACCTTCGTCTGTTCATCTGTCCATCTCTCTGGTCAAAGCACCTAAACCATTCTGCCGATTGTCTCCAAAACTGATATTCTACAATCGAATTCAAGGAACTTGAAGTCCTGTGACTTTTAATTTTTGGGCATACTTTAGGTGTAGCCACAATTACATTTTCAAAATTTTCTCAAAAATGGCTCTAAATTTTTAGATTAAACTTTGCCCTAGTATAGTGCTGAAGACACTTAAAAGAATGGTTGAGATTTCATTTTCGTTAAAATCCCTGATTTTTCGAAAATTGCTTAAAACCAAATTTTTTTCCTGCATCTTCCTACAACTACAATATTGAAGATAGATTCTCCTCGATAAAGTATGTTGTTAAAGGACATCTTGAAATAAAGTCATGTACAATTTTTCAAAAATTCAAATAGTTTTTGCATGAAATTTAGACAATTTTTAAGCTATTATTTTAAAACAAAAATCTACAATATGTTTGAAACAAACGAGTAAGTTCACACAGTCTCAGCTTGAAATTAATGCAAGTTATAAAATAAAACATTATCTCAAAAACACTCCAAATTTGTTAGGGTTTTCACAAATAAAATGAGGATCTTTAAAAGAATGTTGCAAATATCATTTTCGCAGAACTCTCTGAATTTTTTAAAATTACTGAAGTTAGAAATAATGTGAGAAAGTATGTGATGTTTTAACATAGCTAATGTTTTAGCATTGCTAATTTTGTTTTTCCTCGTCCTCTTATTCATTTTTCATATCAGTCGTTCTAGTATAAAAAGTTCTGTCATGCGCAGCAATGACATATAAAGGTTCCTTTTTATCCTGTTCTAGTGATATAGTAACCTGCGTCTGTCCCTCTCTCTTTCATTCAGGGGTAAACTTCTTTGGGTCCACCAATTGAGACAAATGAGAAATCATTCAACGTATCTCAATCTCTTGGTGAGATCCTCTCTCTCTCTCTCTCTCTTTTTTTTTATTTTCTTTCTTTTTTTTTTTCAGTTCCATCCAGATGATTCTAAAAAATTTCTCAAAAAACATGTTTTTGCATTTTTTAGACAACTGAAAAGCATTTTGGGTGACTTACAGCCTCTATAGGGATGATCAATAGCTCATTCGATTCCTCTGAACAAGACAAATAAATTTGCCAGTTCCTCTAGGATATTCTGGAAAAGTTTTTGAAAAACTTTGATGGTTTTGTAGTTTAATTCTTGGTTTTACTAGTTTTGTCGTTTGGTTATGTAAGCTGTGAGGTTTTATTGTGTTTGAGTGTGTTGGGTGTTTGGAATATGCGTATGCTAAAGGTGTTTCCACAGATTCGGGCAAAATATGTTTTTCAGTAGGGCAAACAAGTAAGATAGAGTTGTTTGATGTATGAAGTAAATGATATGTTAAAATGAAGAGAAAAAGTTTATAATTTCAGTTAATATAATAAATAAAATGTTATGATGATAATAAAATAGGCATTCATTTAACGATATCACAAGGAAGTAGCAGCATCGATAGCAAGGTAAGTGTAGTGGATATTTATAGTATCAGGTTTCAATGAAACTGCTTTACAAAATAAAACACTGTTTTTCTGTAACAAGAATAAAACACTGTTTCTGGAAGATATTTTTCCTCTCAATCCAGATCGAATTTCAGAATTTCTGTATCGACCTCAGTTTTCACGTGATAATTGTTTTTGTAAATGTGTATGTTTTCTGCGGGCCTGTTTCACAAGTCCAATGTCTGATAGTCTATCCAGAAGTTATTTTACTGATGTGTTGAAAATTTGTGTTTTCCCACTGTGCATGCTCCATTTGTGTGTGCCTGATAAATTTATCGGTGGTTAAAGTATCCAATAAATAATCTGGAGATTTGTGCACCTGAGAGAGAGAAAGGCTTTTAAATGTTTATCTGGTAGATAACCCCAAAATAACAATTTGTGTGTGAACTGACTGTGTTTTTCAAGGAATGTCTGTGGTATTTCGGTTTTGGACAAAGTAATAGAGATGATATACGACGAGTTCATTGACCATTTAGAGTGTTTGTGCAGACGGATTGTCTGTCACAATATTTTGAGATCCTTGACAAGCAAGATTGCAAATCTCATTTTAGGTTAGCAGAAAGTAAGGTTATGTCTTTGATAGAATAGAAAATAAAAACAACTGATTTGTGAATACCGATTTATATTTCTGCAGCAATGGTCCTACTAAATTCAACTTAAGAAAAATAATAAAACGTATACTTTGTGTTTTATTAGCAATTCTGAGGAATCATCAGTAAACTGACTTCTCCTCACTCTGCGTTATTTTGCATCAGCATAATTTATTCGTAATTAGAGACTTCAGTAGAATGAGTAATTATTGTGTGGCAAATTGCGTACAAGTGTAGTCAGTGAAGTGTCTCATGCCATTGCAGGATTGAGACCTGCAGTATGTATGTGAAGTTCCAAGGAATATAAAAATTGCCCAAGAAAATTGTATGAAATTGCTAGATTTTAATAAATTATATAATATATATAATTTATTTATTTTTTTTAGCAATAGATTACACGTGTGTTCCCACACAATCACTTGGTAATGTGTTCTATACATTTTGTCAGTGTCTAAGTGAAGTGACATCTCCAAAATATAATTTGCAGGAGAATGGTTTTAAAAAAATATCAAAAATAAAGTCCAAATACAGCCAGTAAGGGATGTATTTTTAACTCGGAAGCTGTCAATGAGAGTATTTACTTTCTCCCTCCCCTCACATTTTTATCTGTTTAAACTTTTCTAAACCTTGGAATTTTTGTACTGTTGGTTTTGGTGTTGTCAGTATTTAAAATAGATCACTATCATTTCATGGGGCTTCCCAGGCTTATGTGTAGGTTTTTAATGAAGAATTCGACTTCATTATGTTGAGATGTTTAAGTCAATTTACTCACCCTTTTTACTTTCTTAATTTAATTGTAAGTTATACACTCTAAAATTCTGTTAAGGAAGTGAATAGTATTTAGAAATTTATTTCTATATTATATAATATACTGGTCAGCAGAGAAAAGTCTCAATATTGAGTAATTTATGGGAAATAGGCAATAAAAATTAAAGAATCCATTTTCAGTGATATCCTCCATAATAAAGTCAAAAATTGTAATGGATTTCCTTCCCACATTTATGATTTCAGAATCGGGTCATTTTTAGTAAGCATCATATCCAATACAATTTTGTTTTCAACAACAACAACAACAAAAACATCTTTGAACAGTTATTATCAGATTTTTTTAAATCTCTCATCAGAGCTTTATACTTTTATTTAAGATATTTCCCTTCAATAAAAGCAACCCTCAAGGAGCTATTAAAAGCCTTTTCAATAGCTGTCCATGCCATATCCCTATCCTGTCACATGGTAGCACCATTTTCTTTGCATTCAATAATAGTTCTCCTCCTCACAACAAGGAATACAAGTCTGTTTCCTCACGTGTAAAATTAATTAGTCTTTCTTGCTTCTCTCCCCTCTCCGTTTTGAAACGCCTACACACAAAATATGATGCAATAAAACAAACTTTTACACTGAACTTGCACACAGCTCACACTGAAGTAAACTGTAGCACAAAATAACAATGAATGACGCGAAAAACACCTCACACTTCTATTCACCAAACACATTCAAAT